GGTGAGCACACTTGCCCTACGCTAGCCAAGACATTAGGCAAAAGTCCTCGCCTGTAGCGTAGGAACAAGTAATGAACCGACCAGGATGTTGACGGGGAACGCAAAGTGCCGCAAATTATTGAGCTCTCTGTTTATTATATGGGGAAAGATCGGGTTCTCGTCAACTTAAATTTAAAACTGCGCGCTTCCTGCTAAATTTTCCCACTGGAAGCTATTTTCTTTAACTTCCTACTGACTTATTGGGAATAAAACCTGTCTGTTCAGATAACGAATTGCTTGCATACGCGTGATAGACCAGGTCTTTTTACTGCAACTTAATTTATTAGGCCAGGTCGCAACACCGCATAGTATCATTATCGACTATTTTTCTGAGATCGAACTCTGGCTACGCTCTGTGAAGTTGTTGGTTAAATTGATTTCCTTCAAAATACTGAGTCTTATCTCACTTATTTTCTTCGGACGACCTACTGCATAAAAATGGAAGGTAGGGTTTCGGTCAGTAGTTGTTTGCCACTGTGTAAATGCTCCTGCCTGCGCTTCAGGCAGGATGCGGTGCTCCCTCTTCAAGTTGGTTCGAACCGCCTGACGCTATTTTCAGGTTCTGGACTGCAAACAAGAGAATATAGGATAGTACTTTAGGCGCCGGCACGTTGTCTTTTAATTTGCTTCCAGACAGCTGTCTTGTGTTCGCGTTTTTTCCCTTGCCAATCAGGCTTGAACTCTGATTGGCTGACAGTAGTAACTGTGCAATACATAGTTCACCCAATATATATATGACCACGTTAGAGCTCTCTTTTTGCATGAATCCCCCCCACCCTAGTTGACATTCAGAGCTGGTCGGTGGTGGTCGCGTTGAGCGTCACCTCTTGAATGACTTAACTCCCGCAATGCCCCTTTACCTACCGTCTCCACTTTGTAAAGTTACCCACTTATCAATCGTGCTCCGTCCGTCCTTCTCTCGCCTTCTTTCCCCTTCCGTCACATTTATACGATAAAGGGGTCAGCCGTCTGAAGTCTGGGGCCTCGAGACCGCTTACCAGCATCGCCCTCGCTACCATCGTTAGTTCAATTACAGTAGCGGCCAAGTTAGTTGCACTTTTCTGGCTGGATGCTTTATAGTCAACCCACAGCAGGCAAATGTGTTGTGAAACTCAATGCAACCCTACAATCCACAAAAATCCAGACTTCCACCTAAGTCCGCCTCAGG